TACATAGAAAACATTAACACTACATCACATTGTCTAGAGACAGCTTGAAATTTTGTACAAAACAAGCGTAGAGCCCGAAGGGAATTGCGCGACTTACAGTTTTCTATGTATTTTTATGAATTCATTTCTCTTCCAAAAACATTTCAGTTATTTCTCTTTCTGTCATGCCTGCGTTTTCTTCTGTTTTGTTTTGGAATGCCGTCAGAATTTCTTTTACGTGAAGAAACGTTTCAACATCAGAATAAATTGAGGAATGCCACCATAACTATTTGCTCATATAATAAATGTTTTTGTGTAATCCTGCCAACAGAGAAGTTCAGTACAGCGGCAACGTTATAAGAAAAATTGGTTGTTTCTAGTTGAAACCTTGATCTCGTGATTTTCCGAATTTCCAAGCTAATGAACTGAGGTTGGACACTGCCGATTTCTTACACATTCTTAGAAACCGAGTTAAAACCTAGATAATACTACCTACTCATTACAGTCTATATAACGCCCTCAATTAAACTGTGCGCCGTTAATTACCACTGAATTAGTTAGTATAACATGGTAAATGTACCATGTTACACTAACCATTTCTGTAATAAATTCTTCTCGGGCTGCCAGCCGTGTAAATTGGCTTAATAAAGAAAACACCAACATTTCGAGAACCATCTTCGTCTTCGTCCCCAGCCTCCGGGTAATGTAGTTATGAGAGATCAAATTCGTACTCAGTGTCTACCTGGCCCAGTTCCATGTTATTAGCTGCACACCAAGTCCAATTGGGTAACGTGGAGCCAATAAAATGGAACTGAGCCAGGTAGACACTGAGTACGAACGGGATCTCCCATAACTACATTGCCCGGAGGCTGGGGACGAAGACGAAGATGGTTCTCGAAAAGTTGTTTTCTTCATTAAGCGAACTTACACGGTTGGCAGCCCGATAAGAATTTATTATACTTAGTCGTCTTGAAAGCTTCAGATCATAAACCATTTCTATGTTGTTAAATGTCTATATCTGATCCCATATTTTGCTGGTTTATTAAAATATTTGTAAACACAAAACATTTTCGACCGAGTGCCTTGATCTGATCGACGAATGATAAATGGAGTAATATTCTTTATGAAAACGTCAAAAAACACAAAAAACACTCGCGACATCAACAACAGCATAGTTAGATGAGTATTTTTTTTTAACTTGGTGCAACAGCTTGCGTTTAAAATTACAACCCACCCACGTTAAATCTCACTGACATCCCCCAGCGCAGCTTCCAACTCATTGTGTACACCGTATAACTTTTAGTTCATTAAATTTGTGAGGTCACGTACCCTGCTATAAACACAGGAGACTAGCCTCAGGACAAGTTAAAGGAGTTGAAACTTTAACGGGGATGGTACAGATATGCACAACTGTCGCCGTCAGTTACGATGGAAAGATGCACCGCTTTCAGTGAAACCTGTTCATGAGCAGATAGGCATCACACAGTGTCACTCAGCTTAGCGTGTAATCTAACATATGCGACAGGCGCTGCGTAACGAATACCAGTCTCTTATCGCAGACATTTAAAATTTATGTAGATACACCTGCATCATCTTATCGGAACGACGTCTTGCGAACAAGGCACCAAAAAAAGGTCTCTGTTACCCGCAAGCCACGAAAACTTACAGCACCGCTAGTCACAATGCTGCCAACAGCGTATCTCGCAGTCAGCATCTCCCAAAGGAATTTCGTAATTTTCACACAAAAGGAATAGATAAATATAAAAAAATACAGTAAGAAATAGAGAAATGTAAACAAAATTGACGGATAATCATGGAGGTTATATTACCTCTGAATTTAGGAAAGCGTTATTATACATGGTTCGAATTAAACCTAATATTCCTTTTTATTTAATAAGGCTTTCAACTTCTCAGATTAAATGGAGCCGAATTAGTATATGATAAAGTGGAAAGGGTGAGGAAGGAGGCGGCCAAAGCCTAATTTAAATGAATATAGGAGCATCTGAATTAGGGGACTGAGAAAAGTCGGTAAGGATATCCGATATTGGGACGAGATTTGAATCCGGGGTCTGTAAATTTTAAGACAGGAATGCGACGTTTGGTTTCAATCGATCAAAAATTAGAAATCAACAAAACATTAATTCAGACAATAACTTTTATCAGTATCAAAACTGTTTATATTTTACGCCCCTGAGATTTTGAACAGACGTTGGACCTATTTATATACGTACATACATGCACTTCGTTCCAAGAAAGCGCAACACCTTTTATGCACTTCGTTCCAAGAAAGCGCAACAGTCCGAAGGAACGGAACTGCGCATTCTGCGATTCGCATTTCAGAATTGTACTTTTTCTTCTCAGCGAGATTTATGTTACATCATGAAACATGTCTCTGAAGCACAGGTCACTGAAACAAGCGTCGTCAGACGACGTAATGCGTTTCTTTTGCTGCTAAGTAGGGCACATCAATACAAATCCTAAGACCTCGTGAAGACTTAAGTTACTGAAGGACAGAGCTTCTGAGAGACATCGTTGAGGATAACTGGATAGATAATCCAATATAAGGGACGATTTTAAATACGGGTGTTTTGATGGCCTTAATATTACTTCACACAATTTCAAGGGGTATATTCAAAACTTACAACCGATTCACAAATATAATATACCGTTTAACGGAGGACATAATGCATTTTATACAGAAACACAAGGCCTGAAATACAACATTATAAAGAGAGATACTATTACCAACAGACGCGGAATTTTGCCTTTAGTCTTATGAAGCCTCTTATAGTAAAACCAAAGTAGACTGTTTTGTTTAATTCACTTAAAATTACTGTACTCCCATATGTAGCTACAGGCCAATTTATATGCATACAGATTAAAAATGTTAAACTTTTGCTAAAGTTTGACTTAAAAAATTGAGTTTGTAACAGAGAGGTTTACACAGAGAACGATGGGAGATATTTAGCAAGCACTTTTTCTGTTTTGTAAAAGATAAAAGTTATTAGCATTCTTATTAAAAACTTCTATGTGCATGAATATAACGTCCTGAGACACACAGCACACAGCTTACTCGTGTGTCTTCTTTAAACATTTTCCAACCTTTCAACTACACGCCCAATATTAATAATGAATCTACTGACTCTGTTCACCTGCAAAAGAATACATATTTAATCCCACTAAAAGCATTCACAGACCATTAGACGAGTGGCATTAAAGCTACTAGGGGTTCATATCTTTTTCTATTATACGTCAGATCTTTCCGTAGAACAGCTCGACAGCTACGTCACTTGTAAATAGCTTTTGAAGGTACATCGTGTGTTGAAAATGCTGTTGTTTACTGAAATAAATAATTCTAGAACTACGGAACAGTGATTCGTCCTGAGGAATGACTTCCTTCTGCCTAGGTAAGTAACAACTCCAAGGAGCGCAATCCTTCTTGAGAAGCTTAGATTTGCTCAGCTACTAAAATATTATCCGTCTTATACAGAACCCAATGGTTCATTACCGTGTTTAAAACAGTCCACCACTCGACTATATCCAGAAAAAAATTAATCCGGTCCAAAAAGTCATGGTGTATTCACTTACATGTCAATTTTAATATTATCCTCCATCTACTTCTAGATCTCCGAAGTTTCTTCCCCATCTCGCATTACAATTCTGTATGCACTATTTATTTCTCCAGTAATACCTCTTTTCCATCTCACCCTTTAATTTTGTGACCAAAGAGAATCTATACGCCTTCTGGCCCTGTATTTTGTTTGTGTCTTTGCTTGAATGGGTTTATATTTCTAAAGGTACACTAAATAAACAGGCATTGTTCAACCCGAAAGGCAAGGCTGTCTGCTCTCATTGTGTTTTAATATAATGACTAAGGAATCTCGTCCATTTATGGATTTTTTCTGTGGCGACGTCATTTGTTACCATGTGAATTGATTCTGAGGTGCAGAGTGCCTTGGCTAAAACGTCGTTAATCACTATAGTTACAACAAAAACAAGCCTCAGCTATAGACGTTGTTCTCGAGTGACAAATGCTTGTGTTGTGCATATGGAAGTACACGGTTCCCACAGCTATCAAAATTAAGGACACACTAAGGCGATTTCACAGTTATTCGTCTCAACAAATTCTTCGTTGTCAAAGTTCTTGAAGTCTTTCTAGCCCCATTCAAACCACGCGTTGGAATATTTTCCGTATCAACATTTTTGTGTGTATTTAATCGATATTTATTCCGATTTCTATATTTCATTTGTGAAATTGTATTACTTTGCTTCCAGAAGCGAAAATTAATCTCTACCCACAAGATAGCCACCTTCTAATGCTATCCTCCAATATCATTGTTTATGGTCCAAGTAATCATTTTCCAAGAGGTTTTACCACCGAAATTATGTTTGTGTAGCTTAACCCTCTCCCCGCCCCAGTAACCTAACACCACCACCCTAACAATACTAAGTCACGATTCGTAAACTAAATTAAATTAAATTTTAAAGATTCAGGGACACTGAATTACAGATGAATAAATTCTTGAACCTCCACCTACGTGGAGGTGAGAGGTAGCTTATCGCAGATGAATAAATTCTCGACCTCCTCCTACGTGGAGGTGAGAGGTAGCTTATCCTTTAAACTGGCTGTAATCCGATAAAGAGACTAATCTCTCCGTTGACTGAGAAGGCTACTTAACCTCTGGAAATATTATTCTAAGAAATAATTTACTGTGCAAGCTTGTGAAGGTAGACAGATGACACAAATGACTCACAGCCCAATAGAGTATGTCTTTGTTAGAATACGTGCTTTACCCTCGCTCATACTTTACATTATTACTTGCAGCACGCGTGAATGGAGATAAGCCATTAAAGTTATACGTTCATTATTACTTTTGTGTATAATTCTCGTGCCTTCTTCGTTACAAAAGTTTGTAAAGTTTCACTTAAAAACTCCACCCTTTTAAAGCTATTTTCCTTAAGTTAGTATTAGCTCTTAAACTAAAGGAAATTCTAGTATAAAGGGAGACTTTTCTACTCACCCCGGAGATTCAGGTGCTATAGAAGACTGTATCTGGGGACAGTGTGATTGGTGGCCCCAGAACTCAGTAGCTTCATTGCTCCTCCTGGAATATGTAAGAGGAAAGGGTTTAAGAGTAATTTTGTATTACGAGTTAAAACGCTTTAAAAAACTAATATCTGAAAGACTTTGTTAAACGTTCTGTAACAGCATCGTAAAAAACTTTAACGTCATTTATTACAACATTTCTTCTAAAAGAATTTTTTTTATTTTTAGCTGCAAACAAAATTATTCCAGATGTACGAATAGGGTAATGGAAGAATTACGTTTATTTTCCTGTAATTTCTACAGTTGTCAAGTTGTATAGAAATTTTCAGTTTCTGATGGACAACGTTTGGGCATAATAATTCCTCCCTGAAACGAACATGAATTACATATTTAGAATAACGTATGACTGCATTGTCCCATGCAAAGTAGATGCACTAAAAGATTGCGGATGCAGGAGAGATACGGAGGATCGCGGAGAAGTATTATATACACGCTGCCTATACCGAATAAGCAATCACGGACAGCCGACAAGGAGTGGTACCACAGCTTGGGAGTTGGAAGGAGAGGTAGCTAACACACTTAAATACAAACAACACACAAAGAAATCTTACAAGGGGACTCGGAATGTGACGGATTACTTGGTCCAACCATCAATTCGTGCAGTTAGAACATTATACATTGTAATTTCGTACTCAATAATGATATTCAGATTATATTGATAAAGTTGTTCTCGTTTTCAACAACAGTTACTTAACTTTATAGTTGCAGTTTATATATGTTATTTGTAAAACAAAAACCTTATTTGACTTCCATTTACCTCCTATAATTGCGATTCATCTATATCATCCAAAACACTGCCGAAGAGAACACGAATTATTCTAAGCAACATTATACTTACTGCCCTCTCTTCATCTCGTTCACGTCCATGATTCCAAAAACAGAAAGTATTTACTATCCATGCCTGTAACACTTTAATTACATAACCCTGCATAATAAAACTGATTGACAGGAAAACAAACAACTTCAGTGTATATTCAATCATCATGCTTGTCCAAATAGAAAAAAAAACCGATAATGCGATGCACAGAATATGTTACCCGTAAAATAATTAACTCGTAATGCGATGCAAACAATATGTTACCCGTAAAATAATTAACTCTTTGTAAATTACCGTCACGTCACGAACTGTGCTGTAGTACTACACTTTACATTACTTACTACTGGTCCATAAATCAGTAATTAAAAGCTGACCCACATTATTATAACAGCAATGCATAATATTACTTAAAGAAAATCACAAAACTTAAACGTATGTTAGTATATAAACACAAAATTCCTCGACTTCATGTAAAGTTAATGAAACCCACAAGCTGGTAATTAAAATCTATTTAACTTTGATTCACGCCGACACTGGTTCACACTGTGACGTCCACATTTGTGTTGCCTTGTGTTTCTACCGAACGCAGTATAAGGTTGTATTAGCATTAATCCAATGACATATTGCGTGTTATACAACACTGGATTAAATTGAATGATGACATGATGGCAGTCACTAGGAGTTGGCCGCAAAGCACGGGGTATAATACTGATGAGACGATCATGTTAATACCTACGCCCTGCTGCTATGTCAACCGTCCTGCTTTTCCACGACAAGGAATTGTATCACTAAAATGTACTCCTGTATATATAATTTGCGAGAAAAACGTAGGGTAGCACACAGTATCGTCGACTTCATAATAAGCAGGCCTCGATAACAAATGAGGGCAAATGGGAGCATCATGTTTATTATGTCTCCTTCTTACATTCTTTTTTCATACAAGAAAGGATATATATATGTATATATATGTACTGGGATAACAATTGAATATTTTATTGTACCTTAAACAAATTTTTTACGACAAAAATCCATGTTGTTTGCATGCTTTATACCCCCTACGCAACCCTTATGAAATCTGTATCTGCAGCTCTTGTTTAACAAAAACAAGGTAGACAGACAGAGAGAGTGAATAGGCCTTGTTTCCGGCAGTACAGACGCATGTTTGTGGTTCTCTGGGGGATTTCGGGCTCTTCTGAGCTACAATAAATGACCTGTGTTCAGAAGGTCGGCAAATGTTCGCAATCCTACCCACTTCTTGCAGTTTCGTTTCTTCAACAAACAATAGAAGCTGGAATAGCGCGTGCTGATCAATTACTAAGTTGCTGTCGGAAAACTGAGGAAACATCAGAAAACTCAGTAAAGAAAGCCTGCGTAGAGACAGTTCCTGGATATGAAATTAAGAAGGAAGACAGGAGACAGCTGCCAAACTGCTACAATGATAAAAACAAGACGATCTAAACTTCAGTACAATATAAAACGATTGAATAAGGGCGCCAAGCTACCCTTCGTCTATCCACCCAAATGCTATCTCTTCTTGAACTCATCGATGTCACTGTATCGTGAGTGAAATTACAGAGCACACATCTTACTGTGTTAGCTGAGTAAGCTGTATCAAGAACAAGCCTCTCAAGCGAAGAGTTGCCCGGAATACTTGGTTGTAAGGCACGTTCTTATCAGCCGGAAGACCTTCCCTAAGACACACAATCTTATTACTGAAAACGAAACGAAAAAGGAGAAAGTAAATGACAAGTATAAAACCGATCAAATAATCGATACTCAATTGCGTATTTCTTTATCTCGCAAAATAACGACAACTTTTAAGTTCTACGTTAAGTAATGATTAGACACGGAGGAACAGAGTTGTATTCAATGACCTGATACCGTGAAGCTCATTATGTTTAAATGAATGCGCAGACCTAAATGAACGCTAATCAAAGTGGATATTATTTTTAACGAAACTAAAAGATCTTCGAATAAAAAAGGGTAATTTTATTCAGTTCTCTTCCGTGTTTGGAAATAACTGACTAGACCCGGAAATGTAAAGGTCTGGTAACATAGTACCGTGCTAGAGCCAACACAATCCTTGAATTTTACCTGTCACTTCCTAGACACTGTAGCTCATACACGGGTATGAAAACTTGTGCCTTAAGGAGCCAGATACTCATTAATGCATAATATAAAGACGCTGATGAACTTTACCAAATTAGTACTTCAATTTGACAATTTTATAATTGCCAAAGATACGTTTGAAGGCAGCGTAGTAACTTCCTCCTGCAGTAGCTAATTATTGAATATGTTAAGAAGTTCCCTTTGGTTACAGAACCAGAATTTATTCACCGTGTTCTCAAAATCTCATCATTTAGCTTTTCCCATAAGATATGATTTAACGCAATCTCTGCATTTAAAATAGTTATTTTAACCGGTCTGATCTTATGAGGACATTCAATGTTCTTGTTTTTCATGATTTTAGTTAACAATCAAACGAACCCAAGGCAACGAACTTCCTCGTTATATTACGTACCCCAAGGTGCAGTCTTTCTCCTGTATCTTACAGTCGTTCAACAACTTAAGAAAATCCTTACGTTTTAAGGAACCCAAATATCTACTCCCGTCTTTAAAGCATCCTGCTCAGTGCTTCATATACTATGGCAGAAAATGTCAGTTTTCACAGTATTCGTACCCTACCACCCTGTTTTTCGATGGCCACATCCAGACCTACGTATTTCCAAATGGTCTCGTTAATTCGTTATTTCGAACAAAATTTTTTAAACATTTCTCAGCGACGGCAATTCACTTAGTGTTCTGCTGTTTCGCTTAGTTCTAAAATGTATGTAAGCCAACATGATCGTAGCTCGTATGCTCAACGTAGACGTTTTTAGCAAGGCGGCATCACAAAGCAAAATCTTATATGTTATCAACGTTTGTAAGCTAGGATTTGTATCTTCGAATATGGCTTCAGGCAGCGAAATAATTCAACGACCACGGCTACCAATATGCGTAGAGACCACAGCGTTATAAATAAAAGTACAATACGCTCATTACAGCGCTTTGTACCTTCTTTCTTATTAAGTCTTCCAGGAGCTTCCAAGTCCTAGGACATTTGTCTGCTGGAGACCTTCCAGCGTCACAAAGCTTCTGTCAGAACTTTTATTAATACTAACTGAACGCCGTGTCAGGTAACACGTATTTCATCGCATTCTTGTTGTTCCCAGGACAGCAAGATTTTTGTACTAGTCTACGGTAGCCACGGGCAGACGCCATCTTTTTTTCACAAAACGAAAATTCACACCAATCACAGTAATTGACTGAAGTGATTCGCCTCTTTTTTTTATCTCTGCGTTAGGATTGCTACGTGATTTGCGACAGTGTTAAATTTCCCTCTCTTTCTCATTCCCTTCTTGTCATTTAATATTTCTCTCTCTTTTCCTGGCTCTCAACTTCCATAACGGTGAATAAGCTAGCTGAGTAAAAAAATGGCAGCATGGAGACAATATCAGAATAAAAAGAAACACATGTGCCTACATTTAACATGAAATATACCACTGAAGAATATATGAGCGCATGTCACTAAACATTCGAACCGACATATTGATAAATCTGGCAACGGTAACTTTTTTAATATAGAAAGGCCTATGCAGCATTCTGCTACGTTTCAAGACCTGAAATGAGGAAGGGAGAATCCATGCGTTAAATAAATGGTTCACAGTATCTGGCTTTCTATTTTTTATAATAAAAATATCAATGCGCTATATTTAATTTATTAACGAATAAAAGACAAAAGTCACTTAGATCATTCTTCTGTGTAATAGTAGTAATTTGTACGTGTTAGAATCAGAGCCAGATTTCGCTTGAAGCAATCCTTGCCTAGAGACCATAAAATTGGAAAGCATCAATCACCTTTAGTTCAGAGGCAAGACATTCTGATAAGGAAGAATGGGGTAATCAGCGGAAAAAAAAATGGTTTCAGGAACATTAATTTTCTGGGCTACATTGTTCATCAGAACTGTTGTAATACGATATGACCTTATTCATAAACATGCAGTAAGTGCGCCCGATTCTATAAGTCAGATTTTATATGCTACATTCTGCTTTTCGAAAATAAACACGATAGTATCAAGTACACTTGAACTTTTCGCGTCGTCTTATGTTTTTTTTATATTTAAATTTGTTTCGGTACATTT